TCTGCAAGTAATAGAGGAGCCGACAAGGAGAGGTGCCATGCCTGACCTCGTGCTCACCAACAGGGAAGGGCTCGTTGGAAATGTGACGCTCCAGGGCAGCCTTGGATGCAGTGATCATGAGATGGTCGAGTTTGAGATCCTCAGGACAGTGAGAAGAGCGTGCAGCAAGCTCACTGCCCTGGACTTCAAAAGAGAAGACTTTGGCCTCTTCAGGAACCTACTTAGGAAGATTCCTTGGGATACAGCCCTAGAGGGCAGGGGGGGGCAAGACTGTTGGTTGATATTCAAGGATCACCTGCTACAAGCTCAGGAGTGTTGCATCCCAACTAGAAGGAAGTGCAGCAGGAGGGCCAGGAGACCTCCTTGGATGGATAAGGAGCTGCTGAGGAAAATTCAAATGAAAAAAGAGGCTTATAATATGTGGAAGCAAGGACAGGAAGCATGGGAAGAGTATAGGGATGTTGTCCGGGAAGCTAGGGACCAGGCTAGGAAAGCTAAGGCCCAGTCAGAATTAAACTTAGCCAGGGGTATTAAGGATAACAGGAAGGGATTCTACAGGTACATAGCAAATAAAAAACAGACAAGGGAGAATGTAGGCCCCCTCAGGAAGCTCTTGGGAGAACTGGCTACACAGGATTTGGAGAAGGCTGAGGTTCTGAATGACTTCTTTGCCTCAATCTTCACTGGCAAATGCTCTGACCAAACCATCCAAGTCTTGGAAGGCAGATGCAGGGACTGTGAGAATGAAGACCTTGCGCCCACTGTAGGAGAGGAACTGGTTTGAGACCATCTTAAGAACCTGAACGTGCACAAGTCCATGGGACCTGATGAAATCCATCCACGAGTCCTGAAGGAGCTGGCAAATGAAGTTGCAAAGCCACTGGCCATCATATTTGAGAAATCATGGCAGTCAGGTGAAGTTCCCAATGACTGGAAAAAGGGAAATATAACCCCCAATTTCAAGAAGGGGAAAACAGATGACTCAGGGAATTACAGAGCAGTCAGTCTCACCTCTGTGCCTGGCAAAATCTTGGAGCAGATTCTCCTGGAAGGCATGCTAAGGCACATGAAAATCAACAAGGTGCTTGGTGACAGCCAGCATGGCTTCACTAAGGGGAAATCCTGCCTGACCAACTTGGTGGCCTTCTATGATGGGGCTACAGAACTGATGGACAGGGGTAGAGCAGTTGATGTCATCTACCTGGACTTGTGCAAAGCGTTCGACACTGTCCCACATGACATCCTTGTCTCTAAATTGGAGAGACTTCAATTTGATGGATGGACCACTCGGTGGATAAAGAACTGGCTGGATGGCCGCATGCAAAGAGTTGTGGTCAATGGCTCAATGTCCAGCTGGAGACCAGTAACGAGTGGTGTCCCTCAGGGATTGGTGTTGGGACTGGTCTTGTTCAACATCTTTGTCAGTGACATGGACAGTGGGATTGAGTGCGCCCTCAGCAAGTTTGCCCATGACACCAAGCTGTGTGGTTCGGTTGATATGCTGGAGGGAAGGAATACCATCCAGAGGGACCTTGACATGCTTGTGAGGTGGGCTGATGCCAACCTTATGAAGTTTAACCATGACAAGTGCAAGGTCCTACACCTGGGTCGGAGCAATCCCAGGCACAGCTACAGGTTGGGCAGAGAAGAGATTGAGAGCAGCCCTGCAGAGAAGGACTTGGGGCTGCTGGTTGATGAAAAAATGAACATGAGCCGGCAGTGTGTGCTTGCAGCCCAGAAAGCCAATCGTATCCTGGGCTGCATCAAAAAGAGTGTGACCAGCAGGTCGAAGGAGGTGATCCTGCCCCTCTACTCTGCTCTTGTGAGACCTCACCTGGAGTATTGTGTGCAGTTCTGGTGTCCTCAACATAAAAAGGACATGGAACTGTTGGAACAGGTCCAGAGAAGGGTGGTGAGGATGATCAGGGGACTGGAGCACCTCCTGTATGAAGACAGGCTGAGGAAGTTGGGGCTGTTCAGCCTGGAGAAGAGAAGGCTGCATGGAGACCTCATGGCAGCCTTCCAGTATCTGAAGGGGGCCTATGGGCCTATAGGGATGCTGGAGAGGGACTCTTCATTAGAGGCTGTAGTGGAAGGACAAGGAGTGATGGGTTAAAACTTAAACAGGGGAAGTTTAGATTGGATATAAGGAGGAAATTCTTTCCTGTTAGGGTGTTGAGGCACTGGAATGGGTTGCCCAGGGAGGCTATGAATGCGCCATCCCTGGCAGTGTTCAAGGCCAGGTTGGACGAGGCCTTGGGTGATATGATTTAGTGTGAGGTGTCCCTGCCCATGGCAGGGGGGTTTGAACTATATGATCTTAAGGTCCTTTCCAACCCTAATAATTCTATGATTCTATAACCCACGTTCTTCCCATGGGCTGCAGTTCTTCATTAACTGCTCCAGCATGGGTCTCTTCCATGGATGCAGTCTTTTAGGAACAGGCTGCTCCAGTATGGGTCCCTTCCATGTGGTCACAATTCTTGCAGCAAACCTGCTCCAGTGTGGGCTCCTCTCTCCACAGGGCCACAGCTCCTGCCAGAAGCCTGCTCCAGCACAGGCTTCCCACAGGGTCACAGCCTCCTTCGGGTATAAATCTGCTCCAGTGTGGGGCTCTCCATGGGCTGCAAGTGGAGATCTGCTCCTCCATGGATGTCCATGGGCTGCTGGGGCACAACAGCCTCAGCATGGGCTGCACCATGGGTTGCAGGGGAATCCCTGCTCCAGCACTGGAGCACCTCCTCCCCTCCTTCCGCACTGGCCCTGGTGGCTGCAGAGCTCTTTCTTACTGTCCTGGGTTCAGCAGTAGCAGTCATTTTTCTCCTTCTTAGTAGCTGGTGCAGTGCTGTGTTTTTGACTTTCAGTCTTGGAACAGCACTGATAACAGCGATGGTTTTAGTTGCTGCTCAGTAAGGACTTTGTGAGCCTCATGCTCTGCCAGGGAGGAGGGGAAGCCGGAAGGAAGCAGACAGGACACCTGACCCAAACTAGTCAAAGGGGTATTACATACCACAGCACGTCATGCCCAGTATATAAACTGGGGGCAGTTACTTGTAAGGGCTAGATCACTGCTCGGGTCAGGCTGGGTATCGGTCATTGGGTGGTGAGTGATTGTATTCTCCTCCCTTGTTATTTCCCTTGTCTTTATTGGTAGTAGCAGTAGTGGCTTGTGTTATACCTTAGTTACTGGACTGTTCTTATATGAACCTGTGGGAGTTACATTCTTTCGATTCTCCTCCCCATCCCTCTGGAAGCCGGGGGAATGAACAGGGAGGAGTGAGCGAGTGGCTGTGTGGTTTTGAGTTACCAGCTAGGGTTAAAACCGTGATACTCACGCTTATTGTCACTCTTCTCTCTGGCTGCAGTTGCTCCTGCACAGGAACTTTTTCCGTTTCCTATGTTGCCCCAGAGGTGCTACCCCTGTCACTGTTTTGACCTCCGGCCAGTGGTGGGTCCATCTTGGAGCTGGCTGACATTGGCTCTATTGGGCATGGCAGAAGCTTTTGGCAGCTGCTTATAGAAGCCATCATTGTAGCTTCACCCCACCCCTCCAAAAAAAAACACCAACTTTGCCATGCAAACCCCATATAATTACTTATCAGGAAAGGTGTTTCATTAATGGTTCTCCCTGAGTGTACTGAATCATAGAATCATACAGTGGTTAGGGTTGGAAAGGAGCCTAAGACCCTCCCATGGGCAGGGACACCTAAATACATTGCTGTGCAAGCTTTTCTTGCAGGTTTGTATCAACCCTCATGAGAGAGGTCAAATTGAAGCCATGGCTGTGCTGTAACTGGAGGTTTGATTGTAAATTATGGGCACTGTATAGCTTGCTTTATTTGGTATACCATGTGTGCTGTAATACACATGTGAACTCTAGTTTGGCAGAGGCAAATACTCAGTGTAACTATCTTAAATATTGTACTGGGACTGTGAAACTACTAATGCATGACTTATGTGGAATAATACATACCTGTATTTGCTGTATTCCTGATTCTTCATTTAGATATAAGAAATCTCTTGACTTGCTCAAAACTTGGGTTTCTTCAAAGGAAAGTAATCAAGTCAATAGGTGCAGACTCTAATATCTGTGCTAGGGAATTTATCAGGTAATGGTAAAAGACTGTGTAAGACATGGAGAAAAAAAGCCAATTTCTTCTTATTATTACAACAGGCTTCTCAGAATATCAGTGTTCTCAGAAATGTAATTCTTTGACAATTTTCTCTCACAACTGTGAGCACTTTGTTAAAAGTTCTGAAAACTCTCTGAAGACATCTTCTCTCCTTTAATTCAATATATTTGGAGATTTTTTTTCTCGGATTGGATTTCTCTGATTTCTTCCATTATTCCATGACACAGGAAATATTACCAGTGGTGTAGATGATTAAATAAACAATAATGTTTATTAATGCTTAGATTTCACCCTGATCTTAGGAGGTTCTGATATTCACTGTTTCTAAGCACTATGGTGCTTGCTTTAGGTATTTGTCACTTACTACTTAACATGAAATTGCCTTGAGCAAGAGAGAAAGATGGGAATTGGAAAAGCTGAGAGAATTTAACATGGATTTTCTACTCTTTTCACATTGAGAGTTGTACAGTTGCAAATCTCTGACTACTACTTTTATTTTATTATTGGTATTTGGACTTTCATTTCTTCCAAAAGGTAGATGATAACCTGTAGCAAAGCAAGCATATTGTGGGAAAGAAACTTGCTCAATGCAGGTGACAGTTGTCCCCTCTACGGGTATGAGTACACATTTTAGATAGTAACGTGTTAATCTCATAATAAAATACCTTTGTCTTTCCTTTTAAAACACCAAATTGTCTAGACCCTAGAAACCTTTTACTGCATTTTTTCATTTTCATTTTCTCAATAATGACGGTATAAATGATATTTGTAAGAAAGTAGCTTATGAAAAGGAATTAAAAGAGTTATCAAATTAACATTATAGGTATTTTCTTACATGATGGATAATTTCTTTTACATTGACCATAGGTTTCAGAAGAAGCTCTGCATCACAGCACTGAGGATGAAGAGTCTTCCCAGGGAATGGAGCCCTATCTTGTGCGCAGATTATCATCCCGTAACATCCAGCTTCCTCCACTGGCTTTTAGACAGTTAGAACAGGCAGACTGGGATAAAAAGAATGATACTGATGTTATCGCAAGGCCCACGACCCTTCCACTGAGGATTCTTCCTCTCATTGCTATTACGTCTCCTGAGTCCAGCAGGTAAGGTCTAGCAATTTCTTGATTTGATATTTTCAGTGGCAGGTGGAGGACAGCAGATGCTGCTTCTAGAACAGAAATTTATTTCTTTCCTAAATCCCCTAAATAAATGAAAAAGAAGAATAAAATATGAATATGCAAATTTGTGCCTGCCACTTGATTATACTGTTTGTAAACCTTTTGGTCATGTCCAAATACAAACACTAGAAAGTATTTTCTCTGGACATTACTAATACTATATATTCAGAAAGTAGACTTCTGGAGTCTTGAATAACCATTTTTTTTAAATATAATAAATATAGGAGCCTTTTTATACACAGACAAATTTTCACGATACAGTTTCAAAACAAGTTCCAAGGATTCACGAGAGGCTTTTCCATACTCCTGTATAACTACATTATTTTAAATGTAAATAGTTGAACATATTTGGTTATAGTTGATTTGTATTATAGTTGCTTCATATTACATATGTGGCTTCTTGCATTATGCACATTTTTTAGAGTAAACTTTCCTGTTCTTAAATGTTTCTAACACCATCTTATTTGCTCTGTTTATTTTCCAAAATGTGAATTGTTTAGTGTGAAATTGTTCCTTAGAAGGGTGGCAGTGGCAATGCAGCTGTTTGGTAACCTGAGAATATATAAGGAAAAGGAAAGGCAAACACGCTGAGAGCTGAAATGCAGGACTTGACTTAGGAACTTTTGGATATATCTTCAGAGACAATATTGTATTCTGAATAATGCAACTGCAAAGAGAATGTAGGACTTGCAGTGCATTAAAAAAAATATAAGTATTTATGAGGGTGCTATGTCCAAAACCATCTAATACTAACTTTAATATCACCTCTGAATCTTATTTCCATATAGATTTTTTTTTTTTTTGAATAATAGAGATCAATTCTTGAAACATGCTTATAGAAACAGTGACTACATCCATAGAAGCATATAGACAGATTGTTTACAAATGTAAATATTGTTTGGAGAGATAAAAAAAATGTCAATTAGTAAAGTTTTGAAGATAAATTATCATGAGTTTTTTGTTTTCTATCCATGGAGGCTGGAGAGAAGATTGGTCTGAGATATGGAAGGAAAAGAAGTATAGGTGGAATGATTATATTTCAGATTCCTGGCTTTTCCAGATTTTAGAGTATTTGGCTTTGAAGCTTCAATGGGATTTTAGATGCCCTGTGAAAACTGTGTAACACACTGAGGGTCCTCTGTTTTTTTTAGCTTTCATAACACTAAGTGAAGAAAACATTTATGCTCCTGATGTGATAGAAGATCAGAAAGCAGAATAAAAAATATTACTTCTGTCCTATGAAAATGTCTAAGTGATTACAGATTTTTGGAAACTGCATTTTTTTCTAGGCTGGATTGAAATTTGCAAGAGCAAGCAAAACAGTTTGAATGGTATTTGGATAACTAACAAACATAATATGTACTGGTTATTATGGGTAGCTACTTGCTGTACTTGGAGAATGATTGCTTCTGTGAGAGGCTTCTCTAGGCTAAGAATCTGTCATAGGCATTAAGAGATAAGTTTGTATCCTGCCTATGATATTCATCCTACAGTTGGTATAATGTGTTTTGGAACTGGACAAAAAATGGTTTATCTTCAAGTAATTATATTTCTGAGAGAGGCTGGGAAACAGCAGATCTACAGATTGTTGAATGGAACTGCCAGGCTGTTAAAGCAAACAAACGAACCAAAACTGAACAGAGCAGCAGAAGCAATTACAATTTCGGTGCTTCTTTGCATAAAATCTTCAGCTTTTATGATTCCTTCTTAGCTAAAGAGCAATTACGCTGCTACAGGAAGAATATTGTTCAGGAAATTAAATTTCTCTAGCTGTTTTGTGCCATTTTTCAGTTATTAGCTCTCTCAAGCAGCTATGCATTCCCCGTTTACGTGCTTGTAATGCCAGCAGAAAAGCTGGAGGAAGCTATCGTTTTATTTGGCATCTTGTCCCCGTAAAAGTACACAAACGTAAGGGACCTATTATGTCTGTGGAAATGCTTAACTCCTTTGCCTTTGAATGTATGGAAATGTGCTGCTGAGAAAAGGAAACCTCTGTCTTCAGTAGGTAGGTGAAGGCAGAAGAACAATTCTGCTACAGAAATTCAGTCTGATGTGGAAAAATTTCACCACTGAAAACACTACAAATTATAAATGTATGTTTTTTAAGGAATATGCTAAAAAAACCAAACATAATATAAAGTATCTTACACTGTGATTCAAAGCTAAAACCAGTGAAAATGTATGTAGTTTTTAAAATAAAGTATGCATTTCGTTCCTGACATGCACTTACATACACACACTCCCCTTTTCACTTTTTCTCTCTTTTTATTGTTAGGATGTCTCCAGATCATTTCTGGTTTTATGTTAGCTTTGTATGACCAAGCTACACTAATTCAAAAAAAGCTCTTAAAAATTCCCAAACAACACAGCAGAGTATATGAAAAATTAGAAATAAACTATTCCGTAATGTTTTTCTAAATCTTTCATCCTCTTTTAAACTCTTAGTCTTCTGACTCTAAGGAGACAGCAAAGTGTCTTGTCATTCCTTTCACTCTTCTAATTTCTTTCTATGCATGAAGAGATACAGATTCCAAGTTTTTCTAACCCAGGCTAAACTGAGACAATAATAAAGATCATCATTAAGATGAAGGTTTATATCTTACATTTGCTAACAGGAGTTATAAAAACTAGTGCTTACAATTTGATAGACTCAGCCTGCAGCTGGTAGCAACAGTTATATTTATGAAATGTAACAATTGCCAGACCTTCTATGGGGAGGATTTGAAACAGGCAGGCAATTGCTTTTGATGTTTTAGTTCTTATTTTGTTTTATTTTATTTTATTTTAATAAGCATTATATTTACCTTGCGTATATAGCATATTAAATGTCGTATTTTGCTGTAAGCTAGGTTAGCTAGGGTATTTGCAGTGTGCTTGTGACCATGTGTTTTAGATTTTGCCAGTTTTCCTCAAGTAACTGTAACTAAGTTTATCAAAGGTTTTGATGTAGGTAACAGTTATGATGCCATTTACGATGGGATGTGCAGACAAGAAAGTACTGACAGAAGAATACTTTTGCTTTTGCCAAAACATCTGGTATTAAAAGGGCAGGGGACTGTTCTACATGAGAACTTATTTGTTTGAGGAGATTTAAGATATTTGATCTTAACTCTTTTATAGTAACTATTTCAAAGAAGGTTTACTTTCCTCTACATTTGTTTTGCCCAATAGCCACAGATCCCACCCTGATTCAATACTCAAGCTAATATTTATATTGTGATAGCAAATGAGATACTGTAAATTTAATTTCTTCCTTCAAACACTTGGATGTGATTTAGGACAATTGGTCATATTTATATATAATGGTTATATTGATTTCTCCAAAGCTTCATGAAATATGATAAAAGTCTCTTCAGTCACCATTGTGATGGAAACTACCTCTTTTCATTGTTTAACTCAGAAGAAGGGGTGGAACAGTAGACAGATTTCATATTTTTGAGCTGGCTGGACCAGCATTTGTTGGACACTATGAAGTGCAATGACACTCTCAGTGGTACAGATTCAAGGTATCAAGAGTCTGATGCAGGCTTTTATTTCCCCTTGAAAGTATGGCTTTTTCAGTTGCTGCTGAGATTCTTCTGTCCTCCTAATACATATGACTGACATAATATGAAGGATAATGCAATGTTCATTGGATGTAAATTCCAGAAATGTTAAGAGTATATCATGTTTCTGAAGACTTCATTGAAAGGGTTGTTTGAAAGCAAAATGTATTTTGGAGTTGAGATGCGGTTAGAAGTCTTTCAATATAAAAATATAGGAACACACTTTTTTTTTGTGTGTTTCATTTAGTTATCTGTAATTCAGTATATATATTGTCTCTTCCTACTACTAATCATATTCTTTGCTCAAACATCATTTGGGAGAGATTATTACCATTGTATAACGTAAGATCTATTTTAAATTGCTTTTGTATTGCTTATGTTCAACTGAAAGTGTGTATTTCAGCATGTTTATGAAAATTTAGGGAGCTATAAGAATGACTTACATGATAGTTAATTTCTGAAGTACCTTTTTTGCAATGTTCCTTCTATCCTAATTTATTAGTTTTTTTCCTTAAGTTAAATTCTGTGGATGAGATAGGCACTGTACTGCTTAAAAACATTTGTGTTTTATTATCCATTAAAGAAGCAATCAAAACTCTCTATTGGAAATCAAATAAAAACTTGATTTAAAATTATCCCCAGTTTTTCCTTCTGCCCTTTAAAGATGCACTTAAAATTTTAATATCTGCTTTTTAAAGGAAATATTAGAAAATTGTTAGTATCATCAATGTAAGTTTGATACTACAGACTGAGAGTCCTAGTTGCAAACTAAATGTTTCTTAATGTCTGCCACTTGCTCACTCATTGTCTTTCCCCTGTCAGAGTAATACCTCAAAGACTAGATTTTGCCTTTTGTAGTTAGGGCCAGAAGAGCTTTTTCAAATGTTAAATGACTGAAATGCGTGAATCCTGAGCCACAATAATGCAGTTATTCATTTACTATATCAGCAAAGTATTTTTAAAACAACAGTTAGAGTTCTGAATCTGGGTTGTTGTTTTAAGGAACAGAGTGTTAGAGAGAGATGATGAAGATAAGGAGACTGGACCTTAGCAGAATAACGTGTAGTAAATATAAAAGCTAGGATAAAGCTGCCCTTTAGATTTATTAATTTGCAACTCTGTAGGGTAGTATATGTAGTGAAAATAAGTGGGAACTATGGTTTACATAGTGCTGAAAGATAAAAAATAATAAAAGATAAAAAATAAAAATTGGTATTTCATTTATTTTTTAACCGAGAATTATGATCTTGGACCTGCCAGGCTGTAACTCTTCTTAGGCAGCTTCTCATGGGTCTAGGCTGTTTTCAACTACAGCTGTGTTCCCTGACTCACCTGCCAGTTAAGAATAATGAAGAATAGTGCAACAACTCTTAGCATTTT